TGATGTCACTGAACAGCCACTACAGGGTCCCAAAGACGGCTGGTGCACCCAAGGTACATCCATATGACGTCACTACCCAGAGTGCATTGCGACGCTAACAACAATGGCGACCTACGAGTTAAACTATTTTTACAAATTTTATAAAAATGAAGACATTAAAAAGGTTTTTACACCACTTTAATATAACTGATACTAACATTTATCTTTTAAGAACTACAAGGTTTTTTAACCTGGGTTCCTTTTAACAAAATAGTGTTCTAAATTAATTTTAAAATGTCAAATCTTTTATAGTGAATACTTAGGGAAAAAAAACATCATCGACTTTAATCTCTGAAAATAAGTCCAATCTAGTCTTTGAATTTGGATATTTTTTCTCAAAAATCTGAGAATAAATAATCGAGGCTTTAGATCAATTTTCTCAGTATTTCTTTCAATGTGCTTTAAAAATGACTTTAGATGATTGCATGTGAAAAAACACTACCAACACCTTGTCTGTGAATCTTTTTTGGTTTTAGCACTTACGTGTTTAATTAGTGGGAAACCTGCTTTTGGCCAGTATGTTTGTGACGCATGGATTTTCTGCACCGTTTCCTATCTGACTTCTCACTGACATAAAAAATGTTTGGATGCATCTCTATCTGCATGGATTCACCCAACTGTCAGCGCTTCTGATCGCTGGTTGATCAGAAGCTGCAGCTATAAATCATTCCGGGAGAGTGCACGGTGTTGGAGAGGTCATCTCTTTTTCCATGTTCCTGCTGGCCTGACAGTAGCTGATTGTGCTGTTTGTACAGTGATGGCACGCCTCACGGCAGTAATGCACTTTTTGGAGAGACTGTGTCCTTGTGTGTAAAATGTTTTCCTTGTGGAGCGCTTTCTGCGCTTCGGGTTGGTTGTGCTGGGGAGGACTGTGAATGGCTAGTGTTTACTTGGAGATGGACAGATACATGTATTTTTATTTTTTTTTTTAGAAGTCTCAGATCTGGTTTAATTAATGACCGGGAAAAACAACAAAGTCCTGGTGCTGAGAGGTTTGATGGTTCGTGTGTGCGCTCCACTCACTCCAGACCTGCGTTACAGTCCTTCCTCCCAGTCACGGCTTTCTGCACACAATTTATGCTAGATGCATTCTTGAAATGTCAGACTGTCCATGTGGGGCACGTGAAAATGCATGACTGTCCCAACAAAACATAAAATATTTTTGTTCTCAAAAATGATTAGGTAATAGTTTCATTTTCAAGTAAGCATTGATGCAACTGTAACTCAAAAGGCAACACGATAAATAAAGGTGAGATCGAGGTTAGTGGTGACTTGTGCTATTTTTAGAACATGCCCAGCGGACATGACCCCGAGAGCAACGTTGGTGACACTTGCTGTAGAGTATTGGACACATAATAATTTAGACTTAAACATATTGTCAATTCATCAAAATATGATTATGTATAACTTATAAAATTACAAAGTCATTTTTTTAGCCAGAAAAGATTAACTTTATTCAAAGAAGATATGTAAGAAATCTTGCATCTTCTGCAGCATTTTGATGTCTGGTGATATACCACAGGATAAGTTAAAAAATATTGGGTCAACATCATAGATTCCATATCCGCACCTGCACCATGATGTCAGCATGGTCTGACTGTATGAGCATGGCCTGTAAGTTGCAAAGTTATCTTCTGGTCATTTTGATGAAAGACATGTCCTTTTGGTATGTTACAGTAACAAAGTGTTGCAGAACGTTGAACAATTATATGTGATCTAGGACAAGTGAGAATCAGGTGGTTTACAGGGAAGAGCTTCAGATCATCAGATAGAAATCTAACATCAGAATCAGAATCAACAGTATTGTGCGTGCCTCAGCATCCTGAAGCATAGACATTTGTCTACGCAGTACAGCCTGTCCAACATTATACACACAAAACAGAGATGCAGGCAGACCACGAGAGCGTCCATCAAGGCATATGATGGAATGGGCCTGATCAGCTATGAGATGTTTCCTGGTCGATCTTCTATGGCTGGAGGGTTCAAATCAGGAATTTCCCACAAAGGTTCAAATCTTCATATATTGACTTTGTTTGACAAACTGGTGGGTAAAAAATAAATAACCTGAAAAGGGTTTATAAATATGGGGATGCTTTTTATTTCACCAATTTTTAATGTTCAAAATCAATCAAATGTGTTAATGATAATTTAAAAATGTTTAGTTAATCATTTATAAATGACTGGTGCGTCACAATTCTATGTGTAACCAATGACGATTGTGACTTTAGAAAATTTGATAAAATCTGTAAACATGAGTGTTTGTAAATGTCTACCTAATCAATATTTAAGCATTTGTAAAGGTCAACTCAATCTTTTACAAAAAAAAATTATGTATATTATCTAATACCCTGTAAAAGATCTGTTAATGACTCACTAAACACATTTTATTTTAATTCATTTTTTAAACATTGCGTAGTAGATTTGTTTTTACCATTTTTTTTGCTGTCAAGATTTGGCTAACGATGTAGCCTTCCTCAGAGCACTGCCGACGCTATTTCCCTCTCCTGTTTATCTGCGGGCAGCAGATGTCACCTTCTACTGCCCGCTCCCTCCACACCGATGATAAGGTCCCATGAGTTGCAGTTCATCATCTCTGTTGATGGTCCATATCTCCTTATTTCTATCACTTCTTTAATCCATCTTTTGTATTTTTGTTCTTCTGTGTTTAGTCACCATGTGCTGTCCCAGTTTTTTTTATAAGATTTTCTCTTTTGCAGTGGTCCATTACGGCTGACTTCTTTATTGTGCTTTCTGTTTCTTGTTTTATCGCTCTTATGTGTCTTTGACTTGTTTCTTTCTCACACTCCTTTCTGTGTTTTATTTTTTGTGTGTTGAGTTGGTGTCCAGTTTGTCCTAAGTACTGTATGTTTTATTGCAGAGTTTGCATGGGATTTCATATTTGACTCCGCATTTCTGTCTTTGTAATATATCTTCTTTTGGGTGTACCAGTCATTTTTGACTGTATGGTTTTGTTGGTTCTGACGGTGATCTGAGCTCCAGAAATCCGCATTTCATTTTTTAAACCCCACCACGGGTCTCAGGAGCCCAGCGCGGACCTCCCTGTCCCGGTACCGACCGACATGGGCTACAGAAGTCCGACTTTTCAGCTGCAGGAAAGCCTTCCGGCACGGAGATAGAGGCGTTGTCTCTCTTATCTGGAAACCCGGGGACTCGGATGTCCAGACAGGCTGGAGTTGGTACAGCCTTCACACACACTAGTTTATCAACATGAACACAACCCAACACTAGTAAACACACACACTGACTGGATCACATGACCTCTCTACCCTAAAACTAGCCACTCTCCACACTGAGCTGAGGCAGCCGAGCTTCTAACTCCCTTTGGTTACGTCAGAGGTTCACATTTAGAAACAAGAGCCTTTTTAAAAGCTTTGCTGAGAAAGGCCACTTTTTACTAGAAAAACTGCTGTAAATGAAATATCCATGATAAACATTTCTAATGGGATTAATTTGGACAGCATTTTATATGCATTAGAAAAAAAGTGACCTGCAATTTGCTCTTTAATATAAGTGTTTGAATTATTTATTCTCCAGATGACTAAGTGGACCATATTCTGTGACTTACAGTAACAAATTTGGGTACCTGCAATAAAGAATGTGTGAAGTGTGACTGTAGTTTTGTGTTTGTGAGTGACAGTAAAAAAGGTACAAGTTATTTTTTTCAAACAACAAGTATGTAAATGTGTTTTGCATCATTTGTTTTGACTAAATTGGGGCAAAACTACAGCTGTACGATTTTTTTGGGATGGGAGACTCAACAAATACAATTTGTGTACGTGAAACAAAGACTTTGAATAGGTGAAGCTGTTGTTTTGTACCTGTGAAAGATGTTTTTTTTTTCTAGATTTTTCTCTGTGAATTCAAGTTCCCAGAGTCAAGACACAAATGTTTTTGCACCAGATATTTTGGATCAACTGGGGCAAAACTGTTACTGTAAGATTTTGTTGATGTGTGACTCAAAGAATGCATTTTGTGTACTCCTACCCAAGATTTTGAGTGGGTGTAGCTATTGTTTTGTACCTGTGAAAGATATAATTTTTCTGAATTTTTACAATAGATCCTAACCATCATCTAAAGCCTGATTTTTACTTCTCTGTCAGTGTGGGTATGGAGACACGTAACACCATTATGCATTGGTGCAAGGACTCTCTGACATGCTAGCAGAAGCTGACAGAGACATACCCAATGTTTCAACTATCTGTCAAAAGTACCAGTAAACTTGTGATTGGTATAGATGCCACTTTCTTTAAAGTCATCAACAGCACTGCTATTACCCCCACAAAAAAAAAAAGATATTCAGCAGCAGACAGGGAACAGATTGGAGAATGCTATGCAGAAAAAGTCCAAACATATGGACGTTTATTCGCCCGTGACTGATGGACAAAGATCAAGTGTTTTATTTGTGGACAAAAATGATTGGAGACATGGGTTTAGAGGTGCCGATCGCATGAAGAGGAGAATGTGGGACAAATTCATCCCTGTTAAAAAGTCTCTGACATCCAAAAAACAATTTAAACACAGTAGTAAATACAGTATATTGGATCCAATCTGTGACTATAACTGTGGCAGGATACTCCAAAAAAGCATTACGCCTTCTGCTGTCCTGGCGGGGAATTGCTTTGCAACACTCCCCAGGAGACGAAGAAGTCAGAAGAGAAAACATTTTTCAATTTGTGTGTGCGACTCACTACTCGAGCTGATGAAGAAGTATAAATCAGCCTTAAGAGCTTAGTTTGAGAAAGCTGAGCTGTGATAAACTTGTTCTGCAGTAAACTCCTCAGTTGGTGGTCTTTCAGTGATTGGAGGATGAGCTGGTGGGAGGTCACGGTCTTTAGCAGGGTAGAGGGTCTGCAGCGGCCCGCACCGTGAAGCTACAGGTGACTGAAAGCAGCAGCTGTGCACTGATTGGGGATCACATGTGTACTTGTGATACCATTTAGGGGCAGCAGCAAGAAAGACGAACCTCAGACCCCACGTCAGGCTCAGTGAATGGCCCGCTGAGCCCTCCCTACTGTGGTCCCTTTGTGCAGGTGGGAACGCAGGGGCTTGAAGGTTGGCCCATACACTTCCCGCCCCGGATGCCCAATGCAGCAGGCGCCACAACAGCAGCCGCGGCGTCAGCAGCACCACCTCCTGCTCGAGACATCCAGCCTGTTACCCCGGTAGGGCGCTCAAACTCCCCACCCTCATTACTCATTACACATTACATTGTGTGTGTGTGTGTGTGTGTGTGTGTGTGTGTGTGTGTGCGCGCATCTTGTGCATCTCAAGCAAGATCTTGAGGCATTTCACAAGGACAACAATATAATGTAGTAAAATCAAATTAAAAATATTATTAAATAAAATTAAAAGCAATAAAAATGTGAAGAGAAAAAATTGTTATTTCAAAAAACCTGACAACCATTCCACAATGTCAGATTCCCATCGGGTGTTTTAACACCAGTTATGTGACACAGCTGCTTTTACACCAAAATAATTATTTATTGGCTAAGATAATTTGTGGATGAGGAACGTGTGTATGAGTGCAACCTTGGGTGTTGCGGTTCCCCCGTTCTACCACTAGTGTTCCTACGCATAGTCTAAAGTTTTCTTATATTTAGGAACATTTCCACACACAGGTACTAAATGATGAATACCACACAATCTGTAATTTAGAGATTCAAAGCAGTGTTTTAGATAATTCTAAACTAATGATGGCACAGAGCAAACAATGTTGAATGATGGTTGGTCAAGGTAACGGAGACACTAGCCACGTTTACATGCGCACCTTTAATCAAATTGACGCCCAATCATATAAAAAATTCTGCATGTAAACATGCCAATCGGAATGTTCTGATCTGATTCGGCCTGATCGGAATGAAATTTCAATCCGATTGAGAGAGGTGGTGTTGTCCGATCATCATTCTGATTGACGTGCATGTACACAGTCATTCGCATTTTTGGAGTAAAATAATGCCCACTGCGCATGTCATTTAGACTACGTGGCTTAAAGGCACAGTCTGCAACATTTAAATGTAGAATAACTTTAAAAATGTTAGATTTTGACCATCTGACCCAATTTTATCAAAAAAAGTAAATAATCTTTAATATTTCAATTTTCTTCTAAGTCCCTCCCCTGCCCTGTAGAGCTCAGCCAATATTTCTGCAAGCCTAACGCGTTGACCAGTAGCGCTGCGTTTCCACCAGGGGGCAGCTGTCAATCATCGAGCACGAGCAGGTCTCAGCGCACAACAGTGTCACGCGCCTCACTTGGCTTACTGCAGAAACATGGAGCAACAAAACCCCAAATTACCGATTCCTCGACTGCCTTCCACATCTCAAAAAACATTTAAAAAGTTTAAAAGCCCTTCTTCAAAAGTGGCTGTAAGACTTTTGAGACAGTCGAGTAGAATTTACATTGGAGATTGTTTTACACACGATGGAGAGATTTTCGTGATCTACACGGCCTGAAAATGGATGAAGAGTTGGCAAAGTATCTTTTAGACAGGTAAGTTATTTATTGTTTTTCGGATAAATTTACTTATAATCTTTCTTTCACTGAAAGAAGTAATAGAGCAAACAAGCTTTTTATGCTTGTTGTCCTATTGGCTAATGTAGCATTAGCTTGAATGCTAAGTCGACATGAATCGATGCTAGTCAAACTATTTATGCTATATTTGGAAGAAGTTTGAGTAACGAAAGGGGATTTTAGTTTTTTGTTTATATGGGAGCTAATGATTAGTGTGGCGTTTACCTATAGGCCACATCAGTATATTGTTTTAAGCTCTTGTTTATAACTTCCCCGTTAGCAGGGTTCAGTTAGCATCTTGAAAGCTGAATTAGGTGTTTACACTTTCCTGAGCTGCGTGTTTGATTAAAATGAGTAATCAGCAGCTCATGTAGCACTTGTAGAAGTCTGAGGAGATGAATTAGGTGTGATTGATCAGGAACGTATCCAAAACCTTACGTTTCCATTAGCACCGAAAGACATATTGTGCTAACATAGGTGGGCCACGTGTACAGATTACCGTCTGAGTTTGTGGTCTTACCTACGTGAAAACTCCATATTAAAATAAAAGTAATGATAATCAGCTCGTGCAAAAATCTGTGAAGGCTGGGGAGACTTGTTTAGCTTGTGATCACTAATTTTTGGGCTTTGTTTTTTACAGTCATCAGTCCAAATATGAAGCATCAACATCTACACCATTGAAGCGCCAACTGTGTATTTCTCCAACACCAGTGCCAGCACTGTCTAGCATTCATGGAGAATCATCTGAAAGGTAAATAGCTGCGTAAAAACCTACCAGGAATATTATAATTTTGCCTCTGTTTGTTTTAAGTTAGTGGTGGATTATTTTGAAAAAATTCTAGAAATGGGATAATGAATGACTATAAAAAATGTATAGAAATAAATAGTAAAACTACATTTTATATAGCGCCTCTCAAGATAAAACTCTTGAGGCACTTCACAACAACAAAATTAAACATATTTTAAAAAATTATATTTTTATTTCAAAGTTTATGAGAAAAAAATAACACAATTGTGTTTTTAAAATGTAAAGAGAGAGACAGGAAATTATTTGTAAAGAAGGAATTCAGTGGATACAGAGAAATGCGTAATAAGTAGAGTGAGAAAAATAAGGAGAGGGTGATGATGACGGCCAATAGACGAGGTCTATTACCTTCAAAATGACAAAATATGTATTGATTCTAATCATATTCTTGTGCTTGTATTTTATTTTCATAGGGATGATAATTTGGAGGAGGTGATGGAACAAGGTGAAACTAAAAAAGAAGGATCTTCACAAATGTAAGTACAAGGTTGTATCTGCATTTGGCTGTCACATTTGTCAGGAAAAGTAAACAATAATTACTTTTTTAGGTTATCTTGTGTGGGAATTGAAGCAAACATTGACGAGGAAGAGTTCAACAATATTCAAAACTCTATGTAAGGATTCAGATGTTAATAAAATGTGTCTAATTTTCCATACTAAAAACTTTATATTGTGTATATTCAGGATAGAGTCATCAGATGACACATGGTCACCAAACAGAGAACCAGAAGTTGATTCGTCTTCAGAGGAGGACGAAACCATCGAGATGGACAGCGGTACTGATGACAGCGGTGATGAGGACTACACACCTTATATACACATAAGGTAATTCTTTTCGTTTAACATTCTATAAAACTGCAATAGCGCACAGTTAATAAAAAGCTTTTGTTCACAGGACTGGAGCAGCATTACAAAAAACATTACAACTTGAGACTCTGCAAGAAATTAACATAGAGGATACAGTTCATGACTGTAATATCCCAGAAGCAACTGACCAACGTTTGACAAGCAAGAAAGGTCTTCCTCGACGAGGATCCAAGGCGTTATGGTTTGCTGTCCGGAGTTCCTGCACCATCAACAGAGGAACTTCTACAACACCTACGGACTTGCGGTGATGGTAAAATAAAACATTATGTGCCTTACATCTTCCACACAATAGTCCATTTCTAATTGAGTTTATTTTTTATTTACAGGTAAAACTTTGCCACGGACATAGGTGTTGGGGGAGGCAAGAGAAAACCCAAAACCTTCTTTATTTTTGTTTCCTGTGGTTTTTTTTTTTTGTTTTTTTTTTTTTTTGAAAATAAAGATATATTTTGGGGAAATAAGGACTAATAATTTAAAAATTTATGTAAAATGTTGGAGGTAGACATAATTTTTTGTTGTTGTGCCGGAGTTTTAAAATGTATGGTATTTTTACAAATGCAACACAGAGTTGTGCTTTAGAACACTTTATTAGAGCATCAAGCAAAAATATATAAAAACAAACTTATGTAAAATATCAAATATATACATTTTTTTACAATTGTCTTGGAATAAAACCAGTGTAGTTACCATTGAGGTCAGGGAATTTTGCAGAATAAACTCCTCCATGTGTGGTACAGTTGAAATACATGTCTGGGGAGGCTGTTGGCAGCATTTCTTTTCCAAATCAGTTGGTATATCTCTGCAGTGGGAGCATACACACCATGAAGGTTGATTGGGTGTTGGAGCTGTTGTGGCAGGTGGACCAGAGAGGGCAAGTACATCAAAGAGAACACCAGTGTCTGTCCAGCACCACGGTAAGGATGTCAATAGCCTGCTGAGGGTTCAGGTTCTGTATGTGTTGCTACAAAAGTGGAAAGAGATGCTACAGCAACAGTTATGCTTACACGTTCAAAGTCTATTCGCTCGGAACAAAGATTCTGAACTCGAGAGAGATCTTCATCTCCAAGGTCCACAGCTGAGTGTCTCACACTTCTTCGGCCTCTGGATGCACCGCGGCCTCTAGACACACCACGGCCTCTGGATGCACCACGGCTTTGAGATGATGGTGGGCATCTCCTTTTTGCACCACGTCTTGAGGATGCAATAGGAGGTTCAAACTCTTCCTCAGAGGATTCCTCAATCACTGAACTCTAAATTGTATTAGAATAAAAAAAATTATACTAATATAAAAAGTACTCTTGCATATTAATCAATTTTGACACAGATCAGGTTTACATCTAGTCAAAATTTGGGCTAAACCAACAATAAACAGAAACTATGAAAACAACCATGATTATAGGAGGACTACACAGAATGCAGTGTTTATTCATGATTTCCACATAAATTATTTATATGCTTTGATATATTCATCCCATCTTGAATGGCAAAGCAATTAAAAATAAGCTAGTTACTTGTAATAAAATGCTAACAATTTGATAGGATTAATTTTATTTACAACTGTTGCCAACTTTTACTGGTATTTTAAAATGTAAATATATTTATAGATATTCTTTATAAAATGCCTTTTGTAAACAGTAAGTGTTTAATGTGCTGGTTGAATACAACTTTCTTACCTCAGATAACTCCATTGCTAACACTAGCTCAGCTCTATTACAAGAAGCAATGCTCCTATGTTGACTCTGCTTTTCCTGCGCGTGCACATTGGGAGGTGTGGCTTTCGGCTCTTTCAGGAAGGGCGGGGGAGTGAGCAACAGCCGTTCGAATTTAAAAATCTCCTCCTCCTCACCCTGACTGCGTCATCCTGCGGACTGTGCCTTTAAAAGAAGATGGCCTAATTAACGAGTGCCGGCTTTTAAATATGATGGCAAGTCGTCCCCGTTTCTGTAATATCTAATCCAGAACCTGCATTTTGTGGAAATAAAATAAAAATCTCAATATTGCACAAATCATTTGACAAACGTGTTCATGTCTGTACTGGAAATACGCCGATTCATTGCGGGGTTTGCAGCACAGCTCCCCGTTTCTGTGAACGCAACAACTGTTTCTGCAGCAGTTGGATGGAGACGTGCTCGTAAAGAGGACAGGGTAACATCGGTTAATCAGACCTGGTTTGAGTTTAAGAAGGCTGATGTTGAGTAGAAAAACATAATCAGTTAAATATTCTGGGCAACTACACTCACCAAAAGGAATATTAGGAACACCACACTAATACGGTGTTTGACCCCCTTTCGCCTTCAGAACGGCCTTAATTCTACGTGGCATTGATTCAACAAGGTTCTGAAAGCATTCTATAGAAATGTTGGTCCATATTGACAGGATAGCATCTTACAGTTGATGGAGATGTGTGGGACGCACATCCAGGGCACAAAGCTCCCGTTCCACCACATCCCAAAGATGCTCTATCGGGTTGAGATCTGGTGACTGTGGGGGCCGTTGTAGTAGTGAACTCATTGTCATGTTCAAGAAACCAATTTGAAATGATTGGAGCTTTATGACATGGTGCATTATGCTGCTGGAAGTAGCCATCAGAGGATGGGTACATGGTGGTCATGAAGGGATGGACATGGTCAGAAATAATGCTCAGGTAGCCCGTGGCATTTCAGTGATTCCTAATTGCCACTAAGGGGCCTAAAGTGTGCCAAGAAAACCTCCCCCACACCATTACACCACCAGCAGCCTGCACAGTAGTAACAAGGTACGTTCTCATTCTGTTTACGGCAAATTCTGACTCTACCGTTTGAATGTCTCAACAGAAATGGAGACTCATCAGGCCAGGCAACATTTTTGCAGTCTGCAATTGTCCATTTTTGGTGAGCTGGTGAAAATTGTAGCCTCTTTTTCCTATTTGTAGTGGAGATGAGTGGTACCCGGTGGGGTCTTCTGCTGTTGTAGCCCATCCGCCTCAAGGTTGTGCGTGTTAGCTTCACAAATGCTTTGCTGCATTCCTCAGTTGTAACGAGTGGTTATTTCAGTCAAAGTTGCTCATCAGTTTGAATCAGTCTGCCCATTCTCCTCTGACCTCTAGCATCAACAAGGCGTTTTCACCCACAGGACTGCTGCATACTGGATGTTTTTCCCTTTTCACACCTTTCTTTGTAACAACAACCATGCCATGCTCAAAATTGCTTAAATCACTTTTCTTTCCCATTCTGACCTTCAGTTTGGAGTTCAGGAGATTGTCTTGACCAGGACCACACCCCTAAATTTATTGAAGCAACTGCCATGTGACTGGTTGATTAGATAATTGCATTAAGGAGAAGTTGAATAGGTGTTGCTAATAATCCTTTAGGTGAGTGTATCTTTGTAAAAACACGGTATTGCAGATGACCTAAGATGCGGTTAGTTTATTGACGATCAACACAGGCTTCCAAATTTTCTCCTGTTAAATAGTTTAAACCAAATTTTCTGAACAATTTCACCTGATTATAATAAGCCACTACAGAGCTCAATAATAAAACATGAGTCTGAACCACCCCTGCTCCGCGCAGCTCTGCGTTCCACACAGCTGTCACATCAGACCCGCGGACCAGCTGATCAAGAGGCAGATACGAGGATAACCCTCCCTTATTTTAATATTGTCAACAATTAAACGCAGCAAAGCATAAACCTGCAGTTTTTCACTGAAGTAAATGCAACTTCTATGAGCAAAATAAAAACATTAAATTGATTAAATTATTCAGGAAGCCAGGAAGAATTGTTTTTTCTGTTTTTACATTTTTCATTTCATTTCATGACATTTGTTAACAATTTTTTTTTCCGAAAAAGAAAACTCTGTGCATGCTCAACCTATTTAATCTGATTGCATATAAACTCATGGCATGCTCAGATAATTTCAGTTAGTGGGCATGTAAACAGGGATTCAGGATTTCCGATCAACCAAGATTTGAATCAGATTGTGGAAATTTGGCGCATGTAAACTTGGCTAATTGATGAAATGATGGGATGTAGGCTTAGATGTTTTGTAGCAAAACCTTGTTAAGTATCTGAGAAATTTGTGATGTCTGGGTTGTAAAATCACGGTTAGGGTTGGGTTGTATGGTTTAACAAGCTATCAATTATTCATAAACCCATTCGAAGCCAGTGTGCAGATCTACCATACCCGTGTTGGAAGCTCTGGGTGGTCCGGAGTAAAGGCAGCCAGGTTGGTGATGTCACCGGATGGATTGGCTCCTGGAATCTCAAAGGGCCATAGTTCAATTATCACCTGCCATAAGATGCTACCAGGGTCTGCTAGTAAGACATTCCATGTCTGATGAGTGTTTGCGTCCGATGCCAAGTCGGTCGATCTTGTATTATGTGTGGGTGCGCATTTCTGTTTGGCAAGAAGATGGTGGAACGCTCTCAGCCAATCAGAGACAGCACTGTTTTCCTGCCTTTTTCCTTGCTTTTGGAGGCACGCAGCTGTACTCATATTAATGAGGGAAGCCTTTGGATCTATTCTTCAGAACTCAAATTGGACCTGTCAAACTTCTCATCGCCATTTGAAAAGTACTGCTCTGATTTGAAAATTCAAAAAGCGTGAACGGAAGAAGGCTTTGGTGGTCATCTGTGTGAAGTTTTGTGTGCCTACCTTGAATGTTCTAGAGGATATGAGGAGAACATTTTAGCTGTCTGAAGGCGACCAGAGCAGAGAATCTCATTTTCTGTACAATGGGTGTCAATGGGAGGAAAGCTGGTGCTGCCCTCCTTCAGAGGCCCGTAGCATAAACACAGTAATACCTACAGCAAAGCCAAAGACTTCATCTTGAAGTCAACACAATAACCTACTGTTTTTGAGAAAATCAACAATGTACTATAAAACATGTGGTTGTAGCTGATTTCTGTTTCAAGACTTTCATTATTGCATGTAGTACAAACACTACAGAGCAAACATGAAAAATGCAGTATTCAGCTGCATTAGATGTCATTTCAGACTTCTGAAACCTTTCATCACCATTTGAAAACTGCTGCACCGATTGGAAAAATTCAAAAAGTGTGAGCAGCAGAAGGTTTTGGTGGTCATCTTTGTGTATTTTTGTGTGCCTACCTGGAATTTTCTAGAAGCTATGATGAGAAAATTTTAGCTGTCTGAAAGCGATCCGAGAAGAAAATCTCAGTTTCTTTATAATGGGTGTAAATGATAGGCTGTGAGGTGACCCCAGTTTTTGTTTCATGTCATTCCGAGGTCTTGTGGCTACTTTATCCTTGCTTCATAAAAGTAGTTCATTCATACTGTTTTCAAAAGTAAAATTGCGCCTCTGAAAGTCCTGAAGTTTTTTTACGATCATTGTTTTAATTCGGGACTAGCTCATTGTCATGTTCAAGAAACCAATCTAAGAAGAGCTTAATGAAAAAGTAGTGAAGTGGCTCTCATGTGATCGCTTTAGG